TTTAAATCCTCTTTGGGATGGATCAGAGAGTCTAGAGAGGCCACTCATAGTTCCAGCTGCTGGCCTCCTGACTCTCCAAAGCCTTCACTGGAATTGGGACATTTGCTCCAGCCCTAGCTGTGAACATGACCAGAGACATTATTTATAATTCAGCCATTTAAGATATACCTGTACTCAAAAAGTCCTGTATATTTTTTAAAAGTTTTATTTTTCAGGTGAACAAAAATACATCCTAAGAACTCTGCCTAAACCTGTGTAAGTCGATCATTTCTCTTAAACTGTGCTTCAAGGGGACGGAGTAGAGGTTGGAAGAGTAACTGGTCTGAGGTGTGATGGATGGATGGTGATGAATAGGTTGAGGAGGAAAAAACAATTGCCCTGCTGTTCTCAGTGCCTGATGGCTGGAATGAATTGATTAGTGAAGGGTGGCAGAATCCATCTTAGTTGGGAAGCAATCCTGGGGTGGGAAGAACAGTGATCTCTAGCTCAGCCACCTTTTGCCAACCTTAAAACAGGCTGAGAAAAAGTTCCGCTTTACAGGAGCAGATGCCTAGCTGACAAAGCTAAGGGCCCAGTAAGCATGAATATTAAGATTTACTGCAAACATTTAGCTGGCTAAGCACGGAGGTGAGGATAAGCTGCCTGATAGCATCACTGTCCTCACCTTTCAACCATTGGCCTCTAGATAACTCAAGAAGTGGTAACACCAGAAAGGCAAGTGTGCATCTGTGGTGCTTGGTCAGAGCTTTGTCTACCATGGAGGAGGTAAGAGAGCCAAATGGCTGAGAGGTGTAGGTTGCTTCAAAGGTGAGGCTTTTTTCTTCCCTTCAAGCAAACAAAAAAGATGTGGGTGAAAAGCACAAATATAAGGGATTAGTTATGCTGCAAAATACATGGTAAGCAATTGAGCTCAGCTCATTATTAGACAATGCTGCTCGGTACAAATCCGGAGTGAGAAGCCAGTGTCGGTGGGGCCCCCTGAGGCCTGCACTTCAGCAGAGCTGTTGGGGGGTAGCTACTGTTCTTTCACATTACCTTGTAGTCTGCGGGGAGGCATGGAAAAAGTCCGCCCTTCTTTTATTTCCCTCTTCAGCCTACACAATGACTTTCTGAGAGAGGGCTTGGTAAGGCAGAGCAGAAGGCGAGTGAAAGAGTTTCCGAGGCTCTTTTGGTCGGCCCCTCCTTTTTGCAGACAGTGACATGTGGCTTCTACAGCTGCCCACGGTGGCTTCACATGTTGGGCACATACAGCAATATGTACAGTGGGAGCCTGCTTAGCAGATGAGACAGGGCCTGGTTGGCTGAGAAGCAGTGGTCTGAATAGCTTTATTTCCAAGGGTTAGAAATCGGCTGCACAGTTGTCCATCAAGTTTTAAGCCGAGAAGGAGAGATCTGTGCAAACGGGGTTACTTTCCTTCCATGGCTTTGCACCAGGACTACCAGGACCATTTCTAGGTGTTTGCTTATATTGGAAGTTACAGTGTGCATTCATTTATTCTCTGACAGCCTGAACTTGAAGAGAGAGAAGCCTGTTTTGAAAGTGAAGGTTTTAGGGGTGGAAGATCAGTGAAGGAACCCATTAGGCTGAGTTTGTGAGGGTATCTTCACTTTACCCATTAATGTTAAGGTACAGTGAAGTGTTTCTCTGAGGTTTTAAGCATAAGAAATATTTCTGTTCCTAACAGCCCTCGATTTCCACATGGTATGAGACCATGTTTTGGAAGCTTTTCTGTCTACCTTGTTTTTCAGTTTTCACTGGGGAATTCTGAGATAGCGTGTTCTTTCGTGGAGTATTTATATCCTGTCTTGAAATGCTGAATGCATAGCATCTACTTGTTTCTACATGTTTCTTTAAGGAGAGCTGAAAGGTCAGGTCACAAGCTTTAGGGCTACCACAGCTATTTAAAAGGGGTAGTAATTGTCCTCTCTTTCCTGTCTACAGAGAATGGAGGTATTTCTGGAATTGCAATTCAGTAACAAAAGGGCCACAGCTGTACTTTTTGTTTTCCATCTCCCTCAGTGGAAGGAGAAACTGCAGTGGCTTTGCCTGTTTCTCATGACCAGCACTCACTTAGTGCCTGGCAGTGGGTACTCAGAATTTATTGATCTCTGGGTTGATCAGCACCCAGTGGGTGCTGGGTGCTGATGGAATCAACCTTAGTATCACTGTGGTGTCCCTGTCGTAATCTACTTGCATGCCCGTATCCACAGCCCATAATCTGGTTCAAGAAGGTGGGTTGCTAAAGAAAACCCCTGCAAATTGTAGCTGCACTGATCTCTCTGGCCTCAGTTTTTTTATTTCCAAGTCGAAGGACACAGCCTTGGCCTTCCTGTTCTTTCCGGGTGCCGGAAGTCCACAGTGGTATTCCATATGGTGCTTAATGGACATGCCGTAGAATATGTAACCCGTTCATTGTCTCCTAGATGCCAGCCCTGCAGCCTAATGTTAAGCTATAAACATGCCTGCTCTGTCGACAGTTTTTTGGTTACCTCTGTTTTACTTGCTGACATAGCCTGTGATTTTCTGCTGCCAGAAAGCCTGTGTTATGCTTTTTGTCCCCTCCAGTAGCTAATTGAAAAAGCAAACAAACAAACTTCTCTTTCCCACTCACCTAGACTCTACCAGGCTTTCCACCCTGAGTGCAGAAACACCCTGCATGGGAGCCACCTAGTCAGTGCTCCTCACTGGATCCTGTGCCTCATTCAATTCTATAAACCTTTGTTAAGCTACCACTAAAGGACCAGAAAATTATCCACAAGGAATTTACAGTCATGCCTGCAAGTCTCCCCTTGTCAAACTACCCTGTTTTCTTCAGTATTCTGTTTTTGCAATAGCTTATCAGTTAAATAACAGTAAGATTTTAGCTAATATCCGCAGGGATGTTTTCCACGAACCATTACCTTTAATTCAAGAATTTTAGTTTAGTTTAGATCTTTATTTGGTGTCTACAGTGTTCTAAGTGAACCTCAAAACTCCGAAAACCAACTTGTCCACAAAAAAGCAATTGCATTGATTACCAAGGATTTCCTTTGAAATACGTATACCTTTCTCTGCTACCTCAGTGTTCAGAGTCGTTAGTTGAGGTCTCCCCACAATTGTGTCCTGGAGACCCACCTGCTCCCTCAGCTCCCTGCTGGTAGCCTGGGTGGTGTAGAGTCACGGCAGCCAGGCTTAGAGGTGTAGACAGCTCACAGCATCACAAGGCCCTGGGCAGGGAGACTGTGTGTTCTCGGGAGGGACCCTGAACTGGAAGATGGGAAGCCTGGGGACTCAACAATGGCGTTAGTTAAGGCCTTTGACCTCTCTCTTTTCTGCTAAATAAATGGGAATTCCTGAGAGCAAATGGAGGTTATGATATGAAAGGGCTTTGAGATCTTGGGAATAAAAGTACAATGTGTACACATGAAGTAATATATTTTCAAGGGAATGTCTGTCCCTTGGGCAATATGATGCTGCACAGAAAGAAATGTGAAGGGGGTAGGTGGTAAACATTACACCAGTGTGCCCAGACTAGCAGCATCAGCGTCACCCAGGAATGTGTTAGAATAATGACAGCTTAGGCCACATCCCAGACCAACAGAAGAAGAAATTCAGAAAGCGAAGCCCAGCATCTGTTTTAACCAGCCTTCCAGGTGATGCTGACACACACTGAAGTCAGAACCACCGGCCCAGCCTTTTCCTCTGATGCTGTAACTTAGGGGTAGGGTATTTCTGTTTTGACAGATGGTCATCGAGGTGCCTTTTGACCCTTTCTCTCGGTTAAAGCCAGCTGCCCTGCTGGGGGAAGAGGAAACAGTGTCCCTAGTGCTTGTAAGAGAAGGGAAAAAGGCTGCATTGTCCATTATTTTTGACAGTTGCCGCAGAACTTGCCCTGGAGAGCTTGTTAAAAAGGCAGCCCTGAGCGAGTCCGTCCCTCACCCGCGAAGGTGCTGCTGTGTTTGCCTCACCTCCTGCCCTGAGGCCTGCTGCTGCTTGAGCCAGTCCTTAAAAGGAGCACTGGGTGCCACATTTGTTCTCTCTGGTGCCAGGTCTGTGCTATTTCACTTCCCCGGCGTCAAGTGGGTGCTTAATGAGCAGCTGTGACGTAAGGCCCAGCAGACTTGAGAGAAAGCAGCTGCAGTCCATGCTTTTTGCTGGCTGCTCTCATTCCCTCTCCCAGCCTTGAGTTCTCCCCCTTTGGTGGGGTTGTGGTCAACCACTGTCAGCCCTTCCTCATGAGCCCTGATAACCCTTGCTCAGAAAGAGATGTGTGTGGGGTGTGTGGACATGGATAAGTGACTTGAGACAGAAGTGACGTGGTGTCTTTAGTTCTCCTATTCCCTCGGCCCCTCCCCTTGATTTAGTCCCTAAAATAAGAAAATACGGCCGTATTAGGATTTTTGACAGTTCCTTGTTCTTTTGGGGGGTTAGTGCGATCTTTTCCTGTTGTTCTTGTCCCTGACAGGGTTGGGGCTGGAGTTGACTGGTGGTCCAACATTCCAAACTTGTGCCTTGTTAGATAGCTAGGCTCTCCTGCTTCCAAGGATCCCCAGTGCCTGTCCCTTGATCGTAGCAAACTCTAGTCATGCTGCTCCTTTGGGTGACAAAACAACTCTGGGACACACAGAGCAAACTCCTCAAGGGGGTTTGTTTCTGGGGAAAATAAGCAAAACACTGTGGTGTGAGTGTGTGAGATTGCTACTGAGGTAGACAGAAGAGAGGAGGAACCCCTGTGAGCCTCCAGCGCAGCACAGCGTGCAGGGTGAAGGGGGGTAAGTGTGATGGAGCCAGTGAGGGAGGTCAAAGAACACACTGGTAAAGCAGGGGCACTGCTCGAGGCTGCGACTCCACTGGACCCCCCCATGGGACTGAAGGAAGCTCGCCTGGTGGGCTGGATAAACTTTACAGACCATTCCTTGTTTCCCTGAAAGTGCATTGACCACCCCCCACCCCCACACCCAGCAAAGATGAGGCTAGAAGAGAATGTAAAAAAAAAGGTAGAAAACAAAGAACACGGAGATCACACCAAATCGCTACTTCATTTATTCAACAAATATTCACTGAGTGCCTTCTGTGTGCCAGGCAACTGTTAAGAGAGAGTCCAACTCCACCTGCGGGCAGGTACATTTTCCATACTCTTCCCATCCAAGTACTAACCAGGCCTGACCCTGCTTAGCTTACGAGATCGGGCGCATTCAGGGTGGTATGGCCATAGACTATTTTGGATACTCTTTAATTTTCTCAGCAACCCTTCAAAGTAGGTATCGCAAGCCTCATTTTGCAGATAAGGAGACTGAGGCTTTTAGAGGCTAAAAATTGACCCAGGTCACCTGGCTGACAGATGGCAGACCTAGGGTTCTGATTCAGTCCATCGGATTCCAAGGCCTGTGCTTGTTCCACCCGGCCACGCTGCCTGTCATCAAAACACATGTCTTTCTTGCAGGCTGGTCTATTGCATTTCCCTCCCGCCATCTGTCAAGAATGGGCCTGGGATGGAGAGGCCTCTGCCTATTCTGCCCTGCTTGGTTCGAGACCTTAGGTAAAGCCAGCATCTCCCTACTGGCTCCTCCCCTCCTCCTGTGTGCCCTCCTTTTTCCGGGCCCCCAGCCCTATGCCTGGGTTCCTGGCAGCTGTGTTTCATGAAGACCCTCCACCTTTGAAGAGTAGTCTTGTCTGTTGGTTGGAGAAGAGAAAGGCACCCAAAACGAAGGCTCCCAGCCAGGCCTTTAAACAAAGGAGCCAGGAAGAGGTAGAACCAGTTTCCCATGATGCCAAGGTCTGCGGAGGGGTGTCTTCTTGCGCCTCCCTCCTGCTCCATGGCTGCTTCCATCCTAGAGCAGGAGGGGTGGCACCCATCTGGACAGATAGCTGGGGGTTACCACCATAACTACCACTTTCCTTATCTTGAAGAAGAGCTCTCCTTTTTTGAGAAGAGCTCAATGTTACCTGCCTGCACTACCATCTTCCTGCAATGAAGAGGTCCTGCGCCAGTCTCTGTTCCCTCCAATGCCTGTAACTCCTGTGACACCCCTCCTCCTAACATCCTTCGAGATGTCACTCCACGGAGACAAGCCCTACTTCCCCACAGCCCTTCTGCCCAGCCTTCCCTCCTGCTTCAGTCCCGTTGTGAGGGCTGAACCGGAGCTCTGCCTGCTTCCTACATCCTCATCCCAGGGTCAGACGAGCCTGGCGTATGCCCCTTTGTGGAGGTGCAGCTGTACAGTTGGCAGCACTGGGTTGGGGAGCACATTGTGAATCTTATAATTCAGATTCTTGATCACAATCGTTTTTGGAGACATCTGCCTGATGTCTCCAAAATCCAAGGTCTTTGCCTGAACCTCCTCTACCCCTGGCCCCATCCTTTGGGAGTCACGGATCCCTAGGCCAGTGTCACACTCCAAAGCCATGTTCTTGTGACTAGAAGGCAAGAGAAAAACTTGAGCTTGGAGTCTTCGCCCTGGCATAGGTGTGTCTCACATATATAGGAATGTTTCCAAGCCTTTCCAAAATTCCTCTGATCAACCCCATACCAAATGCCTCTACCCCCTTCACTCCATCCCATCCCATCCCTGACCAGCTCTCCCACTGCACTACCAGAAGTTGACACCACCCACTCACTTACTTCCAAAGCATCTTCCCCAAGTCTCCCACCCAACTCTGAAGCCAGGAAGCCCCCACCACCTGACAGGGCTAGCACTCTCCCATCCCCTACATGGCCAGCCACCAACCTTTAGAGTCTAGAGTCTGTCTTCACTCCCAGCCCTTCATATATTCTAGTCCAAGCCCTTGACGACTCAAAAGCATGGTCCAGGAACCAGCATGGGCTTCACCTGAAGCCTCTTAGAAATATGAATTCTTGGCCAGGGGTGGTGGCTCATGCCTGTGATCCCAGCAGTTTAGGAGGCCAAGGCAAGCAGATCACTTGAGCCCAGGAGTTGGAGACCAGCCTGGGCAACATGGTGAAACCCTGCCTCTACAAAAAATACAAAAATTAGCCAGGCATGGTGGCACGCCTGTAGTCCCAGCTACTCAGGAGGCTGAGGTGAGAAGATCGCCTGAGCCTGCAGGGTTCGAGGCTGCAGTGAGCCCTGATTGCACCACTGCACTCTGGCCTAGGTGATACAGCAAGACCCTAACTTAAAAAAAAAAAAAAAAAAAAAAAAGATGAACTCTCAGACCCTCCCCAGACCATTAGAATCTGCATGACTCTTCAGTTAAAATATGAGAGACACTTCTCAAAACAGTCTCATCTGCTAAAGAGACACCCCTCACCTTCCTGAATAGAGGGGTGAGGTAGAGTTGAGAGCTAGTGAGGAAGGCTGAGCTGGGACCCCACAGTTTAGTCCTCACATTGGGCAGTGGAGAAATCCCAGGGTGGTCCAGACTCTCCCTAGAGCCCCACAGCCTTCAGCAGAGAACAGCAGCCATGGCAGGACCAGAGAGGAGGGGGCAGAGGGGACCATGCGGTGAGGTCCACACCAGGGCTCAGGAGCAGAAGGCACACATAACAAGAAAGAAGGGCACCTGCTTGTGCCAAGCAGAGGTGGGAGGGTCCCCTGGAGCTCCTACTGCCATCCTGCCCCCAGCCCTGTAGGGCACCTATGGCCCAGAACAGCTCCCGCCCAGAACAGCCCAGATCTGCCGGATGACTGGCTTTCTTCCCCCCCTCCTGCTGGCAGTCTCCGTCGCCTACCGGCTGGATTACTGGTAGTGGGTGCTCAGGAAATGTTTGTTGAACTGAGAGGAAGCCACAGCTTGTGCGGAGTCCGGATAATTCAGCAGACGTGGGCCTCAGGGGAGGGGTGGGGATGGAGGCTTTGTAGGAAAGACAAGTCCTGATGTCATACTTAGCTGGAAGTTGTTTCTCTGTCTGTGGAGTCCCTGTCTGATTCTTGCCTTGGCCTGGCCCTGGTGCTAGTGCAGGGCGGTGGGGAAAGAGGAAGTGGAAAGGGCAGGAAATGACCCTGAGCTGCAGGGCCAGGCCCTTGCCTCCATTCAGGGTGCACGTGGTGTCTGACCTGGGTGTGGCGGCCTGGGAGTAAGCTCTCCCATCTCCAGTGGGAGAGGAGGTTGTCCCTCCCCATCCCACCCCATTTCAGAGGAGGACTTTCCAGAGATCCTCCTTTTCACTGAGAAGACGTGAGCACTACTCTTCTTTGCCCAGGCCAGACCCTGCCAGCTGTGTGGCCTCCCCTCCTCCAGGCCTCAGCCACCACTCAGGAGAGGCAGGAGACTGGCACGTGGCTACTGGGATTCCTCTGGTTGGGCATCCTGGGAATCTGGGACTGGGGGAATCCAGCCCAGGCAAGAGGTGAAAGCCTGCAGCTGGAGAGGGAGGCCAGGCCCTGAGGGGTGACAGGGAGCCAGGGGAGCCAGGAGAGCCAGGCTGGGTGCCACCAAGCCTTGTTCTCTCGTCATAGTGGAGAGGGCTTGTGGCCTGGGCAGCAGTAGGCCCAGGTCAGGGTGCACCAGCCTCAGATGCCAGGGGAATAGACCAGGGGCTGGGCTCGTGTGTGAAAACCCACATGTGCACGGGGATGAGCATGTGAGGTGCAGGGAGGCCACTCCTTGCCCTCACACGGTCGCCGTGCTGGAGAGTTTGCCACACTGCTCAGTGACAATGGCGCAAGCCACCAGCAACCACATGGCCGTCATGCGGAGGGCTCTTAACGGAGTGCTTCCCTCTTCCTCTCCCCCGGGGTGCCCCAGCTCCCAAGAGCTGTGTTCAGCATCTTCCTGCAGGGCCAGGGCGCCCTGTCCTGCGCCTCATACCTGCTGTGCCTCTCGGCCCTTGGCTGCCTCCTCTGGGGGGCCGGCTTCTCAGGGCCAGGCCTTGCTGGGCCCCAGCCTTGCCAGACCTGTCTTCTCTGGGCTCTGGGAGCCCTGCTCCTCTCTGTGGCTCAGGGCAAGTCTGGACTTCCAGCTCAGTCTGGTGATCGTTCCACCCCACGGGCTGCTGCTCAGAGCCCTCTGGCCAAGACACAGGGCTCTCCTGGGCCCCAGGCCTCAGACTGAGCACACACGTGCTCTCCCTAGGCCCAGGGATGCCAGCCCCTCCTAGAGAGAGGTCAAGAGGAGCCAAGTCAGGCTCCTGTGGAGAGCAGGGGACTGAGCTGGCTGTGGAAGCCACTGACTCCCCCTTTGGCCCCTCTGGGGATGCCAGGGCTGGGCTGGCTGCAGGGGCGCTCCCCAGTCGGCCCTGCTCCATCCCGCTCTGCTTCTGTGCTTGCTCCTCCTCAGTGGGAGTCTCTCTGGTGCTTTGGCTTCCCTGAAACAAGAGAACAGCCCCAGTGGCTGATGAATCCATGGCTTGCGTCCCCAGCCTGCCCCATCCTATACCCAAATACCTACCTCCTGACTCTCCAGCTCCTCCTTGTCTTCCTTCATATCCCACCTGTGGAAACACAGCTCATGGCACGCCCCACCCCACTTCACTCCAGAGCCATGCCCCCTGCCTGAATAGAGGGGTGGGGTGGAGTTGAGAGCCAGTGAGGAAGGCTGAGCTGGGACCTCACGGTTTAGGCCTCACATTGAGCAGTGGAGAAATCCCAGGGGTGATCCAGACTCTCCCTAGAGCCCCACAGCTCTCAGCAGAGAGGAGCAGCCATGGCAGGACCAGAGAGGAGGGGCCTCCACCTCCTCTGGGCCTCCATCTCCTTGCCAAAGAAATCCCTGGGAGAAGCCAAAGCCCAAGGGTCTCAGACTGGGATCAGAGCCAGAATGTGGCTCCAGGAGGCTTCCCCCTCCCAAGCCTGACCTTGTTCCCTAAATCCAACTATTTCCTCTGAATGCCACGCACTCTGGGCCTATCCTGGGTCCCCAGCTGCTGTTTATGGCCAAGCTTGCAGCACCTTGAGTTCTGTGGGGACTCCAGGCATGTCCCTGCCTGCAATGCCTGGGAAAGGCATACCTCACTTCCCATGGGAAGGGAGCTGCTGTAATTACCACCAGCCTCCCCAGGCCCCAGGCTCTCGCTGCAGCCTCTGCTAATGGCCTCTCTCTCTCATTAACCTCTCGCCAGGCTGCAGTCAGCCAGGAGGCAGGGGCCCCAGGGATGGAGCTGGCACCTGGGCCTGTACTGGTCCAGGAAATTGGTCCAGATGCCCATCTTGATTTTGTCCCCTGCCACCTGTTACCTTCGGGCCCTGCCAGTCAGCCTCTCCTTGCCCCGGGCTTTGCTGCCTGTGGCTGGTGCCACCGAGGGTCTGCTGGCTTGCCCGCCCCGACCTGCAAGAGATGGTTCACAAGCCAAGGAGAGAAGAGGCCCATAGCAGCCAGCTTCGTCTCGAGACCCGGCCCCTCCTCCTCCCCAACTCACCTTTTCCATCAGGGAGCAATGGTGGGGGCTGTAGTTTCCGGTGGCTCCTGGGACCTGACGGGGACAAAAAAGTGGGGAAAGGTGGGGTGACAAAGGATCCAAAACAGGAACACTGGTCCTTCCAGCCTCAGGAAGCTGTCAGTCCTCGGGGCCAGTCGTGGGTTTTGCCTCCCCAAAAGCGCCCTTGCCTGGGGATCAGGAGAGTCGGGTCCTGTGCTAGCTTTGCCACTCTGTGGCTAGGTGTCTGGCCCCAACTCTCAGGCCACAGCTTCTTTACATATAAAACAAGGGGGCCAGCAATCCACAGTTGTTTCTACAGGGTGTCTGGGGAAGGACCACCAGGACTTTCACCCATTAGGGACCAGCGCCTCGAAGAGACCCCTGGGCAGGCTTCCACTGAGCCTCCTTCTGGGGCCTCCTGGTCAGAACCTGGACAAGAGCTGTGGGCTCAGAGGGGAGGATGGGAGTTCTTGGTGCCCTCCTCTGATAGTGAGGGAGAGGAAGGAAGATGTTCTCCAATGCTTCCTTTCAGCTCTGAAAATAAGTAAGAAACTAAGAGACAGAGGAAAGAGAGGACAAGGGGGTGAAAGATAAACAAAGCCAAGGAGGGGAGAGATGAGGTAGGTGTGAGCTCACCCCTTCTGCTGCCTGCCCTGGCTGGGCCTTCTCCCCTTAGCTGGCTGCAGTCCTGTAGCCTGTGTAGACAGATGGAGTCAGATTGCTGGTGCACAGAAGCTGCTGTGGGCCCCACCCTGACACCCCTCTCCCCCAAGCCCAGGCCCAGAATTGAAGGCAGCAGGGAGATGGTGGGCCCAAGAAAGACAGGAGACCCAGTGTGCACACAGAGCCTTGAACTCTGGGCCCGACCAGAGAGCCCAGCAAGGTCCTCTCCACCGCGAGGAGAGTCCCTGCAGCCCTCCCAGCAGTGCCCGCAGCCAGCTCCACCCCACACCACGGGATCACCAGCCCAGCAAGCTGCCCAACCCAGCCACCCACGTGGGCTTGGCCTTGTCCAGGTCCCACGGGCGCCGCCAGTCACCCTGTGCGTCTCTGTGCCGGGCGAGGCGGGCTAGGTCGATCTGCTCCCGCTCCTGCTTCCACTGGGCGTAGTCCCAGCCCGCCTCTGGGGGCTCCCCCACCGGCCGGCTCCGGGGCTCCCAAGCACCCTGCAGGGAGAAGACACTCAGAGCGAAAGGGAGAAGCAGGAAGAGGCTTGGGGTGGGGTCTAGAGACTCAGGTGCTTCCTCTCAAGGTTTCCACATCTCCAGCTAAAAATTAGATGTGTTCCAGCTCTCCCATGGAAATGGCTTCCATCCACTTGTTGTGTGTTTTAGGCAAGTAATTTAACCTCTCTGTGTCTCATTTCCTCATCTGTAAAATAGGGATCTCCAGAGCACCAACCCACAGGGTTGTTGCAGGGATATGTAGACGAGCCGGAGTGGGAGGGGCCCTGGAGGCTGTGAGCAAGGGCAAGGACTAGGGGCTGCTGCCACCTAGAGGTCACACCTGGCACTTGGCCAGTCAACTCCACCCTCTGGCCCCTCCTCCACTCCCGTGCCACCAGCAGGGCTAGATAGGGGAGGGGGCTGGATCACATCTCTGGCTTAAACTGTCTCCCACTTCAAGGCCCACCCAAAGCAGAGACTGGCCGGAGAAAGGAAGGAGGAGCAGGAACTCCTGCAGGTGCTCCCTCAGCCACGTCCCCGCAGATGAAGGACATATCTGACTCAGCTTCTCTACCTCCCCTAAGTGAGGACCTTCAGATCCATGCCCCATCCCCTCTTGAAGACCTTCCGTGCAGAATCCAAGCTGATGGCCACCTGCATGGGGGGGCTCCGGGTCACACGCCCTCCAGGTGACCCCTCTGTGCCTTGGTTCCTTGCTCTGATGGGCTTTTCACTTACAATCCGTTTGGCCTGGGAGGATGAAGATGGGCAGTGCAGCAGAGTCAGGGAAGAAGAGGCTGCCCGCCGATGCCTGCACTCCCCACCCACCCTGCTCACCTCTGCTTTGTTCTCCATGGTCACAGCCAGCTCCACCAGCTCCCCTAAGCAGAAAGTACCCCCGTGGTCCTCAGCATCCTCATCCTCAAGCATCTCGTTGGTCACTCCGGGTCCACAGGTGCCCCTTGCCCAGTTCCTGCTAACCACCCGCTTTTCCTGCAGAACGAAGACCCTCAGGCCACATGAGCAGTGCTGGGCAGGACCTGGGTGCTGGGTCCTCTCGGTGGTTCCCCAGGCCAACCCCAGCCCTCCCTGCATTCCCCACAGAGGAGCTGACTCCCACAGGCTGTTCACATGCCAATGGCATGAGGTTATCCAGGGCCCAGGGCCACCCAGAGGCCCAAGATGCCACAGTGGCCCCCGTCATCTCTGAGCTGGGAAACCCAGAGCACTCAGACAATGGGTCTCTGTCCCTCAGACACTGCTCCTGGCATTCAGCCCCAACTTCTCTGTCCCCCACTTCCTGCAGGGTTTTAGCCCCTGGGGCTTGAGGTTTAGGAGTGCCGTGTGCTGAGGGGCCTGTGCTTTGTGGCGTAGGCGCAGGGCTGTGGACTGGAAAAGGTATAAGGAGGCTTCTACTGGGCGTAGGGGAGCTTTCAGCTGTGGCCCTTCGGTGGGGACAGCAGTGGTTCTACTGCAGGAGGTTGGGAGCTGACGGATGCACCCCGGAACAGTTAGTAGAAGAGGGGAACAGAGGCAGCTGTCTTCCCCTGACGTGGTCTGGGCCTCCACCTCCTTGCTACGAGCCCTGTCTCCCAGGGTGAGGCTTACACCGGGAACTTGGCTGATGGTAACGGTGAGGCCATCGGGCCGGAGGAGTGCTGGTGTGGTCACAGCCATGCCCCCCTGCTCTGCCTGCCGACGGTCCTCCTGGATCTCCTGTGGGAGGGCCCGGGGTCAGCATACGCCATGGCCCCCCAGGTGCACAGAGACACAGACGGTGACAGGCCTACACGGAGAGACACCAGTGGGACACCAGGGGGCAGAGGCGCCACATCACACATCCCCAGGACCCTGACCAAGCCTCTAAGAGGGACCATACCCACCCTACCCCTGGCCCCAGCCCCAGAGGCGCATTCCTGAGCCTGCAGGGAGAGACCATCACGTGTGGGGCAACCAGGGAGTGGCAGCCAAGCGGGTCCTCCCAGCCCTGTGGCAGCCCACTCACCTGGTACCTGCGGAGCAAGGCCTGGTTCTTCTTGCGCAGGGCAACTATCCTCCGATCCAGCTCCGCGTCCTTCTCCTGCCTGCTCATGGGGGACTCAGCTCCGGCAGGCCCCTGCAGAGGCAGGGAACCCAAGCCCCTGACTTCCGCGTCCCCCTCTCACCAGTCCCCAGCTTTCACATTTTTACCACCCAAGGAACAGATCCCAGACCCACAGCTAAAGTCACCCAGAAAGGAAGGGGATTGCTCGGGGAGATGGCCCAAAGAAGGCCCCAAGCCCCCATTCCAGCTAGGCCTGTCTGCCTGTCCCTACCTCCTCGGGGGGCTCAGGTCAGGGCCTCATACCCCAAGCCACAGCTCCCAGCACTGGGCTGCCCCTCCCCCAGCTCTCCAGGGAGCTTCACTGCTGAGCAGAGCCTGGAATGGGAGTTATAAATGGCTCTGGCAGCGGAACCTGCCGTGACTGGGAAGCTGCCAGGGGATTCGGGAGGTCGAGGGGGGAGCTCTTTGACTCCCAGATCCACAACCAGAGAAAAAGGAGAGGCCCTGGCTCCGTCCTGGGCTCTCAGGCCCTGGACCCCACACCCAGGCCTGTGCCCAGCCTGGAGGAAAGAGCCGCTCCCACGGGCCCAGCCTCTCCAGGCCGAAAGCTGCTGGTAGTCGGGGCGGAGAGAGTCAGCTCCCCTGGCCGCCCCAGCCCGGGAGTCACCCTGGGCAAGCCATGTCTCTGCATCAAGATTCCAGGTTCCTCTCTGTCTGGATGCAGGGTCTCTGTTGTGACCCATCTAGTCACAGCCCTCTTTCTCCCAGCCCCAGCTGTCCCCAGCTGCCCCCAAAGGGTGGCTGCCTGGTATCCCAGCCCCCTCCCAGTCCCAAGAAGCCCCCTGCCAAAGGCAGACTGCCACTCACAGCCGAGTGCATGGCAACGGCGGGCACCGAGAGAATTCCAGAGCAGCCCCTGGGGAGCCAGAGTGGGAGGAAAGCTGGAGCCACCGGAGCCGGGCCTCTGCCGGCCTCTCCCTGCCGGCTTCGCTGTTCAGCACACGAGATCATGTTGTGATTACAAAAGACTCCTCTGGGCTCCCAGCCAGGAACGTCGGGCCGCCACCCCCACCCTTCCACTCTCAGAGGGCGAGGACCAGGGCACTGGCAGCTGGCTGGTCCTGTCTAGCACCTCTCCCTGCCCCGCCCCAGCGTCCCCAGACAGACTGGTAGGGACTTCTCCCTGGTGGGTCAAGCCCACACAGGAGGCCTGGCTGCCTGGGCCCTAGCAGGACCCTAGCCTGGGCCTGCCTGCAGACAAGACGGGCAGCCAGCGTAGGCCTCTGTGCCTCCCATGAGTAGAAAAGGCCTACAGCACACAAATGCTCCCCTCTCCTGCTCCTTCTCCTCATCAGCCTTGGTTTAAGTAATTCAAAGGGATCAAGAAGCTCACCTCCCCTGGACCACCAAGTACTACCACATCCCTAAAATGACAACACTAGTCATTCGTTCTTTTAGGTTGGACATTGTCTTCTCTGTGCAGTCATGCACCATATAGTGACATTTCACTCAACAATGGATCACATATATAATGGTGGTCCCATAAGATTATAATGGAGCTAAAAATTCCTATGGCTTAGTGACATTGTAGCCATCATAACATAATAGCACAGGGCACTACTCATGTGCTTATGGCGATGCTGGTGTAAACAGACCTACGGCATGCCAGTCGTACAAAAGTATGGCACGTACAAGTATGCGCAGTACAGAATACCTGATAATGATAATTAACAATTATGTTACCGGCTTATATATTTACTATACTATACTTTTTATCATTATTTTAGAGTGTATTTCTTCTACTTACAGCAACAACAAAAAAGTGTACTGTTAAACCACCTCAGGCAGATCCTTCAGGAGAAATTCCAGAAGAAGGCATTGTTATCATAGGAGATGACAGCTGCAGGCCTGTTAATGCCCCTGAAGACCTTCCAGTGGGACAAGATGTAGGGTGGAAGACAGTGGTGTTGATTATTTTGACCCTGTGTAGGCCTAGGCTAATGTGTGTGTGTTCGTTTTTAAGAAAAAAGTTTAAAAAGTTAAAAAAAGAAAAAGTTTCAAAATAGTCAAAAAACTTACAGAATAAGGATATAAAGAGAAAATATTTTTGTATAGCTGTACAATGTGTTTGTGTTTTAAGCTAAGTGTTATTACCAAGACAGTCAAAAAAATTTTTTTACTTAAAAAGTTTATAAAGTAAAACAAGTTACAGTAAGCTAAGGTTAATTTATTACTGAAGAAAGAAAAATATATTTTTTTAATTTTTCATGTTTTGAGACAGGATCTCACTCTGTCACCCAAGCCAGAGGTCAGTGACACGATCATGGCTCACTGCAGCCTCAACCTCCTGGGCTCAAGGGATCCCCCTGCCTCAGCCTCCTGAGTAGCTTGGACAACAGGCACATGCCACCATGTGCAGCTAATTTTCAATTTTTTTGTAGAGAGAGGGTCTTGCTATGTTGCACAGGCTGGTCTTGAACACCTAGACTCAAGTGATCCTCCTGCCTTGGCCTCCCAAAGTACTAGGATGACAGGCGTGAGCCACCATGCCTGACCAAAAAATCATTCTTATAAATTTAGTCTAAGTGTACAGTGTTCATAAAATCTATCATAGCAGATGGTAATGTCCTAGGCCTTCAGATTCACTCACTCGGTGACTCATCAGAGCAACTTCCAGTCCTGTAGGCTTCACTCATGGTAAGTGCCTTATACAGGTGTGCCATTTTAAACCTTGTACACCATAGTTTTACTATATCTTTTCTATGTTTAGATATGTAAACACTTAGCATTGTGTTACAGCTGCCTACAGTATGCAGTACAGTAACCTGCGGTACAGATTTGTAGTCTAGGAGCAATAGCTACACCATGCAGCCTGGGTGTGTAGTAGGCTGTACCATCTAGGTTTGTGTAAGTGCTCTCTGTGGTGTTCACACAATGACAAAACCACCTAACAACATATTTCTCAGAACATAGCCCTGTCATTAGGAGACGCGTGACTATGTTTTAAAGCACAGCCACTCCCAGGAGGCTCTGTTGTTTGGGTCTCTAGCCCTTCGGTATGGCAAGCCCGGCCTTCCTCCAGGGGCCTTGCCATGGCAGCTCAGAGCTGGTCAACAGCCTTCCTCCCTCAGGCCCTATGTCTGGGCCCTTCCTGGCCCTGCTCTCCAAGACTGGCTTTTTCAGCCTCTCTGAACCCAGCAAAGGAATCAGCCCTTCTCTGGAAAGCTCCTCCCCCATATCTTCCTCATACAGCTGAGGCTGGTATGAGGGGGAGGGTCTGCCTGGCAGTGCCACCCTAGAGCCTCTGGGACTCAAGGCTTGGGGGTGCTGAGAGGAGGGTGGTCTTTCTGGACTAGGAATTGGTGGAGTCTGTTTCCTCAGCTACAAGGCCCTGACCTCCAGGCCCTCAGGTGAGAATCGGAAGCCCCTGCATTCCCCACATCCCTGATTGAGCAGGCCAGTTTCCCAGATGCCACAACTTGTCCCCTCTGTCTCCAGAGCAGAAACCGCTGCTGCCTTCTTTCTCCTCCCAGACCCACCCAGGCAGCCAGAGGTCCAACCTCCACCCCTCCAGAAGTGCCCTTTCCTCCCCACTCCCTCCCCCAGCTCCGCCAGGCTTAGCCCCCTTCCTGTCCAGGCCTTCGCACAGCACCCCTGGCCCCACACCCCATCTCCACCACCCCAGAGTTCCCATCCTGCTTGCAAATGCCACTGCGCTCTCCCTTCCTTTCCTGCCGGATGTCCCCACTGAGTCAGACTCGTCAACCTCTCCCAGTATCCATGACGCACCCAGGCTCTGTGCCCTGTGCCTCTCTCACACACATATACACACTCTCTCTCCTTCTCCCACCCGCTCTGCGTCCTGCCCCACACAGTGGACTGAGTTCCAGGACAGCCTCAGGAGGCTTCAGAAGCCTCCAGAGGTCTCAAACTTCCCTTCGCGTCCCCTGCACTGTGTTGGAGCTGGGAGGCCTGCGGAGCACTTGCTGGGGAGGGAGACGGAATGCTCTCCAGCCTCTTCAGGACTCAGGCCCAGACCAGGTCTGGGGAGGAGATGTGTAGATGGAGGAGGCTACAGGGATGAGGCAAGGTCTGTGTACCCACCTCCCCCATTTCCAGACAAGGCAGGGGCAAGAGAGCAGCAGGGGAGTAAAGGTACAGGTACAAGCTCCTCACCTATGGGATGGCCACTCAGCTCTTCCGGAAGGGCCTGCAGGAACACACTCCCCTCACCTAGGGCGAAGGCCTTCTGGTCCGTCAGGCTGGAGGGGTATGTGCCCAAGACGAACCAACAGTCATACGGGGGGTACCAGCAGCTGCTGGCTGTGTGTTTCCCAGTGTTACTCACACAAGACGTCACACCTCTGAGCAGCCCCCACAGTCTCCCACTTTCCCCAGAGTCTGCGGTTGACCTGTCTGCTCTCCATTACACAGAGGCTCTCTGAGGGCAGGAATGACATGCCAAGTGCCTCTGGACCCCCAGTCCCTGGCACGGTGCCCCTGCATACTAAAGAACCTCCATCAGCGCTTGCAGGCTTGCAGAATGAAGACATGCGTGAATTGTGCTTGCCATCCTGTGCATGGCTGTGGGTATCCTGTGCACAGGCTGTGACTGCCTTTCTGTCCACCTAGAATGTACGTAGCCCTCAGGGAGCCGGTGGGTGGTAAAGACGCCCTAAGAGTGCCCCCCTCTGTCCTGGGGAGAAGCCCGCAGGAAGCAGAAGAGATGGAGAAGGATCAGCTTGCCATCCCCATGAGACTGTGTGTCTGTTTCTCTGTGTCGCCACTAAGGGGCAGCAGAGTGACAACAGCCTGTTTCTGGGTGCGGGAGGCAGTTCCCTTTCTCTGCTGTTGGGCAGGTCCTCCCCCAAGTCCCTGTAACCTCCACCTCCCAACTCCATCAGACTAGAGAAACCATCCAGTTGTAGAAGACTTATTTTATTGATGAGGAAGCTGAAGCCCAAAGAGGTGTTGCCCTCTGCCCAGGTAGCACAGCCTGTCTGACGCCACTGAGGCCACACACCTGGGCGCGGCCTCCTGCCTAGGGCGCCTTCACCAGCTGCCCTGCCAACGCCGTTCTGCTGATCCTTCCCTCTGTGCCCTCCCTCTCTCCACCTGGGGTTGGGCTGGGTGTCCCAGCACCTCGGGCACAGGCTCTTCCCTGTGGTCCCCTACCCTCCCAGGCCACCTGCTGGCTCAGGGGATACCCCTGAGGTCCAGAAGCGACTGTATCTGGACCCTATTCGTGGTCCTCAGAGCGCAGACCTGGGGCCAGCCCTGAGGAAGAGATGGCTGCAAGCTGGAATTCTCACTGAGAAGAAGAGGGAAGGGGGGCTGCAGGGGAGGAAAGACCCTCCGAACGACACACGGAGACACTGCGCCCCTGGGAGCACAGACCTGGCAGAGGCTGCACCCACGAGAGCCGCACTGCTCAGACCTCATTCTGTTTCCAGAATGCTGCCCCTGCAGCTGGATCAATGAAACATAAGCAAGCCGGCCCCTGCCCTTCCCCTCAGCTTTGTCAGAAGATGGGATGGGGAGTGGGTGGATTCCAAATGAACTTCACCCCTTACTGGCTGTGTCCCTTCTCACTCTGGCCCTCATCTATAAAATGAGGTGTACCTGCTTCACAGAATCATCTGGAGAGGAAATGAAATAACATGGGTAACCATCCATATCTGGAACAAAGTGTGCCCAGAGTAAGGCTCAAAACAGCTTTCTTGCCTCAGGTAACTTCCTGATGGCCACCTTCTGGATGCTACCTCTCCAGCATCCTTTGAGGGGCCCAAAGGCTGTCTGCTACTGGCCTGCTGGTGCCTGAATACATTAAGACTTCTGGGTTATGGAGACCATTTGTGATCTGGTGGGGCAGACCCTGAGGCACTCCCTCAGCCACCTCCCTTCAGGTCTCCTGCCCAGCACACCCTCTCCAGGGAGTCCTCCCTGTCCCTCTTTGTCCCCTCTGAAGTCCCAGGCCCTGGTTGCCATGTGTCCCCAACCAGCACTGGTGCTTCTGGAAGTACTCCCTGCACTTTACCTGCCTCTGGATCCCCCTAGGCCCAGTTCTAGGATCATACCCCAGTGTTCAGGAACCATTCTTCTTGGTGGAGGGCCGAGCCCTTAGAGGTCACTGGTGCCACTAGCCAGCCCTGGGGGTGTGGGTGAGTATTGAGGAAGACAGTGAGCCAGGCTGGATTGCATGAGAGCCCAGCTAGTAGGCAGGGGAACCTCCAGATAGAAAGGGGTCAGAGAGTGGCTTAAACCACAGCATTACCTTCCTGCAAACCCATCCTCCCTCCCTGCCCCACCATGGCGATTCTAATCTCAAGAAACTGCTGTCCTGGCTCCCAGGACTTGAGGTGTGGTCAGGCCAGGGCTGGTCCTGGGTGGGGAGAACTCAAGACTGCATGAGGTGGGGCTGGAGGGACCAGCCCTGGGCAGGCTCCAGTTGCCAGGGACAAAGTCTGGGCCATACCTTTCGAAAGAACACATATGCTAGACCAGGGTGGGGCCCAGGCTGAAGTCCTTTGAGCCATTAGAAGCAGAAGGAAAGCTGGACCAAGGACACATTCCTCCATTCTGCTCTGCAGGACATACCCAGGGCTGGGGCATCCCGAACCTTCCAGCGTCAGACCCAGCAACAGGAGGTGAACGCTGGCGTGGACCTGAGCCCCTGAGGTCTCCCTTGTTTGTTGGTGCTCTGTTCCCATGCACCAACATTGGATCTGTTCATGGTGCAAAGGGGACTCATTGTGTTTTCCCAGAAGCCCCACCTTGACCCCCAGCCCAGAGCTGTCCACAAGCAGAGGCTGAGTGCTGCCCTATTGGGGCTTGCCCATACCATGCCATGAACAGAGCACCTACTGCGTGCTTCACCTGGCCAAGGCGATGTAGGAACCAGCAGGGAAAGACCTCAGAGGCACCTGCCAACACCAGGCTGCATTGGCCTGAGGCCCAGCCAGCACAGGGCTCAGGCCCACCAGGGCATTTTCCAGAAGGAGACGAGCTTCAAGGGGATGAGCAAGATTCAGGCAGGCGGATGGGAGGAGAGGGCATTCCATGAACGCACAGGAGATAGCAGGATCAGAGGAGGCAGGGGAGTGGCAGTGGCTTTTACCTGCAAGAGGACATGAGGTTAGGAAGGTACAGACCAGACTAGGGAGGTTAGGAAGGCAGACTGAGGAGCTGGAGTCATCCAGAGGGGCTGAGAGTTTTACAGCAGCTGCTGCTGAGGCCACCTCGTGGTTTAGGAAGCTGAAGCCAGAGTGGTCTAGATGGGTCGCACAGGGCAGGGGTAGGGTTGGGGGCAGTCAGGAGGCTGTGTCCAGATACTGGAGGGAGGCATCTGGGCCCAGCAGGGCAAGGGGTGTCCAGGGAAAAGGTGAGCGGGAGAGCCTTCAGGAGGACTCAGAGTCTTGGCATGGCTGGTGTGACACAGTGGAGAGAGAAACGGCCTAGGCAGCGTTAAACGCTCAGGCCTGGGGGCCCTCACAGAGTCAGGCACGGAACGGCCTGGCCTGATGTCTCCGGGAAGGGTGCCCGCTGGGCAGCAGAGGCTAGAAGTCTGGGTGGGACAGTCTCTACCCCTTCTCTAGGCTTGTCACATGGGTCTAAGGCAGCATCTCTGGGGCAGGGAAAAGGTCCAGTGTGGCTTTGAGGCATGGAGAGAAGGGTAAGTAGGAGGCTGAGGGAAGGGTGAGAGCCCAGGCCACTAAGGAGAGGGCATGGGCCTCTGGAGTGGCCTTAGGCGGTGTAGCTCAGGGGCTTTCACCCAGCCCAGAGGTGGCTAGGCAGGAAAGGGCAACCAGGGTGAGAGAGCGCGCTGAAAGGCCGGACCTGGACACCTGCAAGTGGGCAGCACAGTGACCAATTGTCCCCATTTGCCTGGAACTCTCTCAGTTTTAGCACCGAAAGTCCTGAGTCTGGAACATGCCTCGGTCCTAAGAACACCTGGACGCTCGGCGCCCTGGGGGAAGAGGGGCTGCAGGAGGCTGGGGCAGGGAGGAGGCCTCTTGGGGGCCTGTCAGTGAAATGCTCTGAGGGACCAAAGGCCAAGGGTGCAAGGGAAGTGTTCTGCAGGCAGGTCCCCAGGGCTGGGCAAGGGAGCCTCTGATGAGGCATAGAGCTCACCACTGATATTCACACTGCTAACAGTAACACCCTGCACTCCAACGTCTAACACGGCCAGAGCCTCACACAGGTGATGCCATTGGAGATGCCATTGAAGATGAAGGTCAGAGACCTGCCCAGGAGTCTCTAGGGCGGGGCCCTCCCAACTGCCTCTGAATCACTGTGGCCGGTGGCCCATCCCTGCAGCACTCTCTCCAGCACATACCTTTGGCCTCATACCGTGGAAAACCTGTCCACCCAAGAAGCGGCGCCTGGCTGTCCTGCCTCCCTCCCCACCCTGCAGGGCAGCCCAGGAGGCAGAGGGGCCTTCCTGGTTCTGCTGACAGGCATTGGGGGTTCCAGAGAGGGCCTTCACTGTGTGTCCTCACCCTCCCAGAGCCCCCCCATGGGCTCCACTGCCCCAGGAGATGCCCTTCAGCCTCTCTCCCTGATCTCCTGTCTCCTCTTCCAGATCCCAGCCCCTCACCCCAGAAGTATCTCCTCTGGCTCCACAGAGCTCCCTTCTCCACTCTGTGACTTTCTAGTAGGGAAGTGCCACCACTCTCAGCCAGGCAATAAGCCCAAGCACTTGGTGAGCGGTTACTATCTGTAAGGCACAGTGCCTGCTGAGGGGTAGCGGGGCCACACACACGGAGCAGGCCCTGCTTGCCCTCAGAATCTTAGGAGAAGAGTTCATGAACACATACACCCTGCTACAGATCATCTTCCACATGCCACCACTGCTGTGGGTGCCCTCCTCACTTCCCAAAGGTCTCCGGGCCCACTCGGGCTTCTGGGGCTGCCCTGTCTTCTCGGTCCACCCCATCAAGGCAGGGCCTACTGCCACCACCCAAGGCCTCACTACCCTGCCTGCCTGCTGCTGTAGTGGGTTCTGTGATTGGCACCCACTGGAGCTCAGACCCTGATTCCTGAGATGGAGAACTTAGGCCTCAAGCCTGGAACCCACAGCACTGGGCCCCCATGCATTCCTCTCAGCCCCTGCTTTCCTCCTGGGGGTTTGTGAAGACACAGGTCTCTCAGCTTCCTGCCAAAGGCTGAGGGCAGAGGTGGAGAGGTTGCAGTGTCAAGGTCCCTGAAGGGGAAAAGGAGGCAGAATAAGGCTTAGAGGGCTGGTGAGGGCGGTGAGCGCGGCGAGTGGTGGATGCAGTTGGTAACATTCACACAGCGTGGGTCGGAGCCTGGCAGGCACCACACCTTTGTAAACCTCCCCTGGGACTTCTGCCCCTCCCCAGTAGCTCACCCTGTCCTGGTTGCCCATAGACCCACAGCAAATGTGTGCAAAAGGGACTAATAACCTTCCACCTAGTCATAAACCAAAGTCCTTTGACCAACAATGTTAGCAAAGCAGGCTGGAATTTTTCAGAAGAGCGTTCCTAAAAGGAGAGATTACCTAAGGTGAAGAAAGGGCCCGGGCTCTAGACTCAAATAGTCCACAGTTGGGACTAACTACACACTTGGTGGGTGACCTCAAGCAGATTTCTTAATGTCTCTGAACCCTGGCATGCTTTAATCCATAAAAGAGGGGAAGATCATAACTGTTACCTCCAAGAGCTGATACGAGATAACTGACACTGTAAGAGAACCTGGCACACAAACACTTTCCTGCCCACCATGGAGATAAAGGAGGATCACACTTTTCCTCCTCTCCATTTTCCAAATTGTATCCTGATGGTGGTTCTGTTACTGCTCTAATTGAGGGGATATAACGATGACTAAGAAAGCCACCACAGGCCGGGCATTGTGGCTCACACCTGTAATCCCGACACTTTGGGAGGTCGAGGTGGGTGGATCACCTGAGTTCAGGAGTTTGAGACTAGCTGGGCTAACATGGTGAAACCCCGTCTCTACTAAAAATACAAAAGTTAGCCGGGAGTGGTGGTGGGCGCCTGCAATTCCAGCTCCTCAGATGGCTGAGGCAGGAGAATCGCTTGAACCCAGGACGCAGTGAGCTGAGATCGTACAACTGCACTCCAGCCTGGGTGACACGGCGGGACTCTGTCTCAGAAAGAAAAGAAAGAAAGAGAGAAAGAAAGAGCGGAGGAGGTGGTGGCGGAGGAGGAGGAGGTAGTGGAGAGGAGGAGGAGGAGGGAAGGAGGGAAGGAGGGAAGGAAGGAAGTCACCATAGCCCCTGCCTCTGAGGAGCCGAATCCCCACTGGGAGTAAGAGACATTAAGAGCAAGGATCCAGGGAGACAGGAGAGCTGAGCAAGGGCACCAGGTCTGCCTGCAGGAGACTAAGGAAGGCCACCATGGCTAAAGCACGCCAAGCAAGAGGTTGTGGCAGGCATCAGAGGCCACAGGGGTCAGTGCAGACCAGCTACAAGGGGCTTTCGGCGTGCAGAGCACGCTGGCAGCCTGGGCTCCCTCCCGGCCTGCCTAGATCCATCCCAAAAGTTCCCTGTTCTGTGTCTAATTTCCATTCTCAGGCTAGCTCCCTGGGCTGGGCAGCACATCTGACAATCCATGCCTGGGGCTTGGCGCCCAAGGCAAAGATTCCACCAGGTCCTCCACTAGGGTCACTATTTCTTCCTCCACCTGCTGAAAGGAGGTAATCATCCTATCTATCTTGTAGGAGTCATTGGGTTACTAATGCATGTGAAGCACCGCATGCCTGGCCTGGCATTCAGTAGGAGCTCTACAAATGTTCAGAGCCAGTCCCTGGTGTAAACAGCCTTGCCAGCACTGGCGACTTCTGCCTGGATTCTGTGGCATCTCATTACCATACCAGTCTGGTAACAGCTTGTTCCCCAGGCTCCCCATCACACACACACACACACACACACACACACACACACACACATCCTGCTTTCAACTGTCCTTTGCCCAGATAAGGATTAGCCCATCCCTCTTCATTCCCTCTAGCCTTCTGCACCTGGCCCTCCCAGTGCACCTGGTCAATCCCAGCCCCTCCCTGACCTGTACAAATACACCTGAGGACAGACAGTGCTCCAGACTTCCTGTCCCTGCTCTGAACTCTCAGGTAGGGACCTGGCTCTGCTTGCTGTTGGCTGAGGACAGGAGGGTCTCTGTGGGCTATGTTGTGTGTCCGTGTGGTCAGGGTCTCTCTAGGTGTGTATGTGCATTGAATTGGTATCTGTGCTTCGGTGTCTCTGCGTGGGAGTGTGTGTCTGTCCATTTGCCCTGTCCCCACTCCCGTTCTGGGCCCCTGCACTTCCACTTTCTTCTTCAGTTATGATTGATTCACAGCCTTTGCCATGCCAGGCAGCAGGGCTTAGCTGAGAGTGGAAGAAACTGCATGAGGTCCCTTCCAGAGCTGCCAACTCCTGCCCCTCAAACACCTGGGCCTGAACTGGGGAGATACATTCTGAGGATTGTCTTTTCTCTTTCATCTTACCCAGATCCTGACTGGCCCTAAGGTTTTCTTTACCTCTCCTCCCTGCAAAACCCAGCCCCATGGGTCTCTTCCAGTCTAATTAATCACTCACTAAGGGAAAGGATGAGGGAGCAGGAAGGACCATGGGTATAGAACACAGGCTGACCTCAGCCGAACATTTTAGTACAAGTAGAAGCCAATGAAAACGGGAAAATGGGTAGCTCAAGAGGTGCAGGAGGCTGGGTGCAGTGGCTCATGCCTGTAATCCAGCACTTTGGGAAGCTAAGGTGAGAGAATCACTTGAGCCTAGGCAACATAGTGAGACCTTGTCTCTACAAAACAATTTTTGTTTTTGAGACAGAGTCTTGCTCTGTCACCCAGGCTGGAGTGCAGTGCTGTGATCTCGGCTCACTGCAGCCTCCGCCTCCCAGGTTCAAGCGATTCTCCTGCCTCAGCCTCCCGAGTAGCTGGGACTACAGGTGCCCACCACCATGCCCAGCTAATTTTTGTATTTTTAGTAGAGATGGAGTTTCACCATATTGGACGGGCTGGTCTCGAACTCCTGACCTCAAATGATCCACCCACCTAGGCCTCCCAAAGTGCTAGGATTACAGGCGTGAGCCGCCGTGCCCAGCCAACAAATTTTTTTAAATTAGCTGGGTGTGGTGGCACATACCTATAGTCCCAGCTGCTTGGGAGGCTAAGGTGGGACGATTGCTTGAACCCTGGAGCTCGAGGCTGCAGTTAGTTGTGATCACGCCACTGCACTCCAGCCTCAATGACAAAGCGAGACTCTGTCCCAAAAACAATTTTTGAAGAGGCACTAAGGTTCCCTAGAAAAAAAAGAGGTTCAGGGGGCCATGTCTTGCAAGAGGCTAGCGTTGTTGTATTGGAGGCACTGTTTATTTTTGTATGCTCAGCAACCTTGTAAGTACCAGAAAGCCCTGATGTCAAGTATTTGCTCCTGGCATCACATACTACACTCCCATTTAATGGCTGAAAAAAAATGAATGTACTGTATGTTCACTGGGTCCATTCTGGGGTTGTCCATTGTGACTTGCCAGCCCCAAGCAAGACATCGCCAGCCTTGGCACCAGGGTGCCTCAGCAGCTCCATCTCATGACAGCACGGCTTGTTGGTGAATGACAAGTTGGCTCAGACTCCAAGCTCCCACCCCGTTCCAATCCTGGTGGGAGGAGACAGGTATAAGCAACTAGGACCCCATGGAAGGCTTTCCATTCACTTGTGCCCCAGGGCAAAAATCCATTCACTTGTGCCCTCAGGGGCCACCAACCCCATTCCTGTCCTAGCAACCCCTCCTCCCCTTCCCTGCTCTGGGCACACTGATCGCTCCGAGATTCCTGCTCCCACACCACGCCAGCTGTTTACACAAGACAAGAGTCTGTAGGGACAGGGGTACCATGACACGGCACAGGGCAGGCACATAACATGAATAATTAGCAAATGAATGGATATTGACATCTTCCCAAGTGGAATCGAATTAACACATAATTGTGAGTATAGAGGGGGCAAGTGTAAGAGTATGGGGTGTAGGGGCTGGTACATGGTGCTGTTGTGTCTCCATCTACCCACCATGTAGGTGAACCTGCTGTGTCCATTTAACCCCCATGCCTGGAAGCTACAGTGCCAAGCTAAGCCAGAGGGAGCAGTTTTTTCCCTTTCATCCTTTGAAGGGGGTGTGTGTGTGTGTGTGTGCATCTCTGGGAGGGAGAAAGGACCAACTACAATTTAGATGACAGGAAACTAAAAGTTACCTTTTGAACACAGGTATTCCTTGTGTCATTCCCTGCTCTTACTCCAAAAATATGCACCCAGGTAAGCACTATGGCTGGGAGGCTGGGAATTGGAAGAAGGGGGAGAGCAGTAAAGACAGGGACTATCAGTCAGCCATAACCAGTGCATGCCAAAAATGTATGTGCGTGTGTGTTTGTATGAAGGCGGTAGTAGGGATCCACAATGAAGACAAGCCCTTATATTCTGTAAAACATGTTCCAGTTTAAGAAACATGCTTACTCATGTTTCTTAACAGGGCAGGAGCTTCTCCCACTGCACACTCGAGGCCCAAGGGAGCTAGGGGTTATGCTCAGGGCAAGGCCATGGAGGTGCGGCTGGGTCGGAATCCAGAATCCAGCTCTTGGGAGCTGTGCCATTGGCTTCCCTCGAAATGAACAAAAGACCGTCCTAGCCTTTAAGAAGTAGCAGGTGATCCCCACCAATGGGGCACTTCAGAACACGCAGGACCACTCAGGTGGGTGCTACAGAAGGAGCCCACCGGACCCACAGCTGGGCAGCCTGGATGGCCCCCGTGTGGATTTCCTGCAGGAGGGCAACACACAGCTGCACCAGGGAGATTTCCAAGTGGCAGGAGGCAGGAGCAAAGGCCAAGAGCTGAGAACAGAAGGTCATAAACAGGAGACAAAAAACAGCTCTGAGAGACTGAGCAGAGATTGGCCCAAGATACCCGGGGCGTGACAGGGGCAGAGGACAGATGGGGAGGTTGGCAGGGCGGCTGGCACGGAGGTAGAAGCAAGAATCAGGTGAATGACAGGGTTGGCCATTATGGAGCAGCTCCAGGCTGACAGAGTTGGGACCCATACCTCCTGACAGGCGCCGCTCCACCCAGAACTCAGCCAGCCCTTGACCACACAGGGACACACCGCTGAATCTTACATTGACTTCCAATATGTATCTTTGCTGAGAGAATGAATGAATGATTGCCAGACAAGTGACGGGCAAGTGACCACATCTGAGAGGCCCTCTTGGGGTAGGGGTGTGGGCACGAAATCCTTAGCGCCAGGGAGAAGACAGGTTGTTTTTACTGCAGAACCAAATGACCAAAGCTGCTGCTTTTTTTCCCTTCCTTTCCCACAGGTCCGAAGGTACGAAAGTTCCTCCAATGTTCTCCCCTTTTTCCTCCCCACTGTAATGTCCTCCAGACCCCCAGCCTCCTTCCTAGACCCTCAGGGAGCAGCCACCACTTCCCCCAAATGAAAAGAAGGGAGCAGGCTCAGGCATCAGCCCTGTGGGGGAGGGGGCAGCGCTGCACTCCTCCACCCTCTGCTGGCTGCAGCCTTCTTGGCGTTCTCTCCTCTGTTTTCCCATCTGTCTCTCTCCTTTCCTCACGTCCCCTCCCTGCCCTAGCAGCCCATCCTCTCTCCTGCTGCTTCCCCGCCTGTTCTATGCTTTTCTGCTTTCCTGGCTACCCCCACAGCCTCGCTGGATGGCTGGCTTGCTCCCAAACTCCAAGCACACTATGGGGCCCCTAGGACCTACTCCTGCCAGAGAAAGGAGACTGCCTCTCCTCCACCTCTTCTCACCCACTGGCTACCACCAGCAGACTCAGTTCTTAGGCCTGGGTCTGGGTGCCAACCCCCAAACAAAAGAGCCATAAGCGGAGAGGCAGGTGGGGTGGGAAGTGGCTGTTTCCAGGCACCACTGAGCCTGGATGGGGCAGGGGCTGCTCTACCATGGTCACAGGAAAGCGCCCAGCCCTGGAGCCTGCCTCTTCCCCACTGGTACCAAGCCCTAATCAAGCCCTAGGAGGCAGAAGGAGACTGGGGAGGTATCCAGCCTGGACAGTGGGAGCATAGCCTCACTCTGCTCCACAGGGCCCCAGACCCCCAGTCCCCTATCACAGAAGCAAGGTGGTGTCTCTTGCCTGCCCCCTGGGCTTGTGGCAAGAGGAAAAAAAAAAAAAAAACTCCTCTGGCCTTGGGGCTTCAGGAATGATTCCAGCCAAGATGGAAGGTTAAACCACACTTTTTCCAGGCCTCTTCTGGCTGAGGCAGAAAAGCTTTTACTTTACTTTCTATTCTTCCTGATTTCTCGGGTCTGGCATCCACTCAGGAACAGGTATGAGCTCACACATACTCATGTACACAGAACCATGCACTCCATGCACGTATCTGTGTACACAGCAAGCCTGAATATGAACCCACCCACACATGTGTACACAAACATAGCTATTTTATATAAATATGGCACACACCCTGTACACACACACACACACACACACACACACCCATAAAAATAATACATACATCCTCACCTTGCCACCTCCTACCCTCCGTGTCCTCTCATCCTCCAACCGTCCTCCTTCTCCTCCTCAGCTCTTTCATCTCCCCTGACCCGGCCTCCTGTCTCCCCCTGCCCCTGGCCTTCAAAGAGCTCTTCTGTAGCCTCCTCCAGCCTCACCCTTGCTCCTAAGTACAATGAGCCTGCAGTTCCTAGCATGGCAAAACCTCTAATCATTCTGCCAGGGTTCCTGGGTGAGAGAAAGGAGAAGATGAAATAATTCTGCTTCTTAGTTGCAAATAAAGTAAATTGAGGTCCAGGGAGTGGGAGTCATATCTCGGCTCAAAGAATAGAAACCAATAAATCTAGGTTGCTCCCCTTTTATCTGCTCAGTGTTCTGGCCTCACCAAGACAAAAGGCATGGGACATGCTACCCATGTCCCCAGCCCTCCACCGCAACTCCTTGGGTGCCTAGGAGTCCTGAGTCCCCCGGGGAAGTGGAGTGAGGTAGAGTTTATCTCAGGTAAGCTTAGCCCTGACCTCAGACTCTGACATTGTTCATTTGACTTTCCACAGGAGCACTGTCACTGTGGGGGGCATGGCCATCCTCCAGGTCACTGTGGGCCACCCCCCGGCCACGGCCCAGGGCCCTGCGGGCCACCCCCCGGCCACGGCCCAGGGCCCTGCGGGCCACCCCCCGGCCACGGCCCAGGGCCCTGCGGGCCACCCCCTGGCCATGGCCCAGGGCCCTGTGGGCCTCCCCCTGGCCATGGCCCAGGGCACCCACACCCTGGTCCACATCACTGAGGAAGCAGAAGAAAACAGGACACAAGATGGCAAGCCTGAGAGAATTGCCCAGCTGACCTGGAATGAGGCCTGAACCACAATCTTCTTTTCCTAATAAATAGCCTCCTAGAGGTCACGTTCTATTATTTAAAGAGCCTGTCTTCCTTCATATCCAACCTGGCTGTCAGAGGACCCAGTTGTCTCCAAGCTCCCTAGTTGTGAAGATGGGGCAACCATCCTGGCATTCTCAGAAGCTCAATGCTATGTTGCTCACTATAAATGGCTGTGTAAGGTCACCTCTCCTTTCCTTTTCACTCCTGTCCCCTCCCATCGAGGGACCTCAAGTGTGGCCTCATTACCCCTGTGCCATCCTGTACATCCAGATCTGGTGGGCCTTCCAAGGTTGCAACTTGCATGCCTCACTCTACAGACCAGAGGCCTCCCTCCAATCCAGATGGATTTCTCACCATTCTCTGAACATACACTGAACTTTCCAGCCTCCTTACCTTTGTTTGCACAGGTAAGGAAGAATGCCCCCACCCCAGGTCAGGAATGCCTTCCCTCTCTCCTACCTCCACATTTCAAAGCCTAGCCTTTCTTCCAAGCCAGCTGAAGTCCACCATCTCCAAGAAGCTTTCTCTAAGGCCTCTTAGGAAGAAAGAGGTCCTTCCTCTTTGCATACTGTCCCCTTCTCTGCAGCAAGCTGCAGAAAAGAGATGGTAGCAGTCACTTCATGGGCTTGATCATATCTTGCCTATTGGCACCAATTTATAGGCTGGCCCTTTATCTCTCCAACCAAGTATAAGCTATTCAGGGCAGACCCAACACTTCTACACCTCTAGATTCTTTATGACCTGTGTCTTACACAGATTGGCATTGGCACACATTTTTGGGATACCTATAATCCAAGTGTTCCTGACTCTCTGCTCAGCCCCATGTCTTCAACCAAGGCCTCTCCCTGCACAAGTAACCAGACCCTGAACAGCCTGCTTGCCGTAAAACCCTTTCTGCCTAGTCAAATCCCACATCCGGGATCCACTCCACTCCCTGCCCCCCGCCGGCTTTTCACACTGCCAATATCTATTCTACTTCTAGACCCCTTAGCCAGGCCTGTCCACAGTCCATCATACCCAAATGTGCTCTACTCACAGCTACTCCCTGGTGGGGGAGATGGCACTGGAGTCAGTGGCTATTGGGCACCTCCCAGTGCCCTGGAGTTGGTGGCTATTGGGCACCTCCTAGGCTGAGGTGGGGGCACAGGGGTGACTATAAAAAAGGATCTGGGATCATTCAATATACCCTTATAACAAACCTGCACATGTACCCTCTGAATCAAAAATTAACCTTAGCCTACTGTGATTTGTTTGCTTTATAAACCTTTTAAATCTTAAAAAAGAAAGAGAAAGATCTGGGGATGATCTGAGTGCCTCTCTTCTTCCCCCCACCCCCGCTCCACCAGACTCCGCACTTGAATAACGGAGTCAGGGATCCACATCTGAGGGGTGCACATTCAATTCCAAGTCGAGGTCCAGAAGAATGGGAAGAAAGACCCAAGCAGATGCCTCGCCCCACTGGGGAGGGGAGGAGAACGCTGAGCGAGCCGGGAACCTCGCAGGCCTGAAGCCCCCCGCCTCTCGACCCGGGGCGTCCAGCGTGAAGTGCGGGCGTAGAGCTCGCCCTCTATCCGGCTGGAAGGGTCTGCGATTCGATTTGTGAGGATCTCTGCATGAGTCGCGCTCCCTGGTTCCTTACGGGAAGGCCGAGGCCGCTAGGAAGCGTTGGACGGCCTGACTCCTACCGGCGGCTCTCAGGCCTGGCGGGAGCAGAGGGGCGCTCACACCCGCAGCCCCGCGATCTTAGACACAGCGCTCTCGGCTCCCGCCGCGGCCCCGCGCCCATTGGCTGGGCTCCTCCTCGCCCCGCCCAGCGACCGGCCCGCTCGGAGCCGACGCATGCGCACGAGCCCGCTGCCGCAGCCGCCGCCGCCGCCGCCGCCGCCGCCGCCGCGGCTTCAGCACCAGCGCCCGGACAGCGGTGCCGCCCACGGGCATGGACGGTGACAGCAGCAGCAGCAGCGGCGGCAGCGGTCCGGCTCCCAGCTCGGGTCCGGAAGGGGAGCAACGGCCCGAGGGGGAGCCCTTGGCCCCAGACGGCGGCTCCCCGGACAGGTAGGGCGGACCGCTCCGCAGACCCAGATCACAGACCCTCCCAGACCCTCCCCGCCCCAGGTATCCCCAGTAGCCGCCATATGTTGCCCCATTAATTCCCCAGACCCTCCCGGAGCCCCTTCCCGGGGTCGCCAAGCTCCAGGCCCCCCTCGCCACGCCCTCATCCTGCCGGGTCAATTTCCTCGTTCCCTGACACCCCCTAGTGTCAGTCCCCATCGCCCTCCCCGCTTAGGGAACCTGCCCCACCCACGGCTCCTACCCCTCCTCTAACGCCAAGACTCCCTGGCTCCTCCGGCCTCTCCTTCTAGGCCCTGCCCCTGCGTCTTCTCCGGAAGCCCCAAGCCCGCAGCAACCTCAGTCCGGGTTTCAGCGTGCCAGTGTGCATGAAGGTGTGCGTGAATCGTGGATGGGAGGCTCGCCAAGGCGGGTGTCCTGGGGAAGGCAGACATTCGGCAGGCACGTCAGGGACTGTCTTTGTCACCATCAGTCGCTTGCCTGCCCTGCATGGCCCCCAGCTGTGCACGTGTGGGTTCCAGTCCCTGCATGTGGCAGCCACACTGGCTGGAGCCACTAAAATGTGAAGGCTTTGGTGCTCAGGCCGCTGGCCTGTACCACCCCTGGAGGAGCCCCAGACTGGTGGGACAGGAGGGACACCTTCCTGCTGAGGACCCAGATCTCTGTACCTCTCCTCTCCCTTCCTCCACCATATGTGTGAGGGAACAGCCCAGCTAGGTAGCAATATGGCGCAATTTCTGTGCCCTGCCTGGCTCTGCCTCCCCCAGAATCCCTCCTCTGACATGACACTGCCTCTTTCCTGCCTGGACTGAAATAAAAGGAATTCCTTGATAGTAATAGCAGAGGTGGACACATCATCTCCAGACTACCCCAGTTAAAATGTACATTCTGTACCCCAGAGGAAGAGAAAGCCCCACAAGTACAGAGAAATGTTTTCTTCCCTTTATTGTTAACACATTAGCCTGGATAGATTTAGCCACTCTTCAGTCTGAAAGTCACAAAGACTTCAAGAGGGTGAGACACAGGATGGGTGTATTCACCAGACCAGGGACCTGCCTGGGACTATGGCCTGATCAAAGAGACCAGGGATGGAGCAGTGACAAGACAGAGCGGGGGCCTGGGGCCAGAAGCATCCTTAGAAGGGGCAGGAGAGTCATTTGCTGTCTTGGATATCTTGCCAAGGATCAGCCGTGTCCAGTCTCATTTCCCCTGGGCATAGGATCCACTTGCTCTCTTTCAGAAACTCCCTGGGGCCTCTGGCCCCTCTCTGGACTTCTCCAGAGACCATGGACACTAATCGGGCATAGGGACTTGCTTACGTATTCAAGAAACACAAAAGTGCTCCTGCTGAGTAGCACTCTGGGGATAGATATACAGTGAATAACTCACGCACACAACATGCACATATGTGCACATCCTTACCAACACACTGGCTAGAGAGGAATTTGAAACAGTTCACACTGTGTTTTTAAAATTACCTTTTTATTTTCCTAGTGATATGAGCTGCTCCCCCATCTGTCCTGGCCACTCTGTGGGATCACATTGAGGTTGACATGGCTGTGTGTCTGTGGGGTTGGGGGCATAGTTAATGCAATATACACTTGCCCCTTATGGGGCTTCCAGGCTGGGTCTCTGTGTCTGGGACCCTGTCAGTCAGGCCCTGATTGCTGGGATGTTGGCCTCTTCAGTGAGGCCTGCATCCCCACTTTCCATGCCCCTGCCTGCCCTACTCACTAGACGTACAGGCCTGCAGGCGCAGGCAGGCAGCCTAGGAAGTTACTTATCCCAGTGAGGGTCATGGAACTGAGGGAGTGAGAATAAAAAAACCCTGTGTAGCCCTGGGGTATTTAACTCCTATTATTACTGAGCCTCCTAAGGGCAGAGGGCAGCAGGAGGTGACAGGAGAAAGCTTTTATTCTGAGAAGAGTGGAGGTCGGCTTTTCTCATTGGGAGATTTGAAGAAAAGTCCTGGCTCTACAGCAGTCAGAATATGGAAGGTTTCAAACTCTGCCACATTGATAATGGTGGGCACAGTCAGAAAGGGTGAGACTGGGGGCAGCTGATCCTAGGTCCCTGAAGAGGAATAGTAGGAGTTAAAGAGAAGGAGCTGGGGCCAGGGAGACTCCAGCAGAAGCAAACCAGCGGTGGAGGCTAAGATTCCCCTTGAACAAGAGCCAGCTAAGGAAAACGGTGGACTTAGGAGGTTTTAGCAAACTGGGTAACCAAGAGTGCACCCACTCTTCTCCAGTATCCTCTGGAATGCTGGCTTCCCCTAATGCAAAAGAAACCGACACTCCAAGTGGGGCCCTGACTCCTAAGACAAGCCCAGTGATCAGTTATCTAAGGCCATGGGCAGCTGGAACAGGCCTCCCACTTTCACCCAGGCTGCCCCACTATCCTGACCCCTAGAAGGCAAGCTCTGCTCTGAAGAGGGAGACCAAGGCCGATGGGTCATCTTTAGGCCTCTAGGACCCAACCCAGAGCAAGGACAATGCTAAAGCACAGGACAGGTGGTCAAGAAAAACCTGCAGAATTTAACATCTTAAAGTCGATGTCCACACTTACACACACAACCTAGGCCATTTATCCACCTTCTCACTGGCCCACAGGGATCTGCCAAGACACTGGCTGCTTACATTATTAACTTTATGGAGTCATCTGAGGTCTTGCTTTAGAACAACTTTGGTCAAATTCCTATTTTCCTAGATGTTGAGTTTGTAAAAAATAAGTATCAGTGATTAAAATCATGAGATCAAATTTTGATACAGCTTTTGGATAACAAAAAGGAAAGTATTTATATATGTAGTGAGATTCTCAAGGTGTGGGAAGTTCTAAAACAGAGATATATTATCTGAGGTACCAAAAGAGGACAAATTATAAATACAAACACACTTCTAAAAGTATATGCTCCCTGCTGCACTGACCGTGGGAAGGGGCAGAAAAGCAAACGTGTCTTCTACATGACAGAC